AAGATCCAGTCAGCGAAAAAATTTGCTGGAGGAATGCTTTGAAAAACTACGCATTCTAGCCACATAAGATAATTTTATTGTAATTTACGAACTGTACTAAACTTTAAGTAGACCTTGCATTAACTGTTAAATTTTTTCCTATCTTTTGAAGATTTTCTTTTTTTTTATATAATTCAAAATCAGAGACTATGTGGCCTATACGTTATATTTCACGTTTATATACGGCTTGTTTGGATAAAAAAACGAATTTAAACTGTAAACAAAAACGATTACATTTTAATTATTCCCACGATTCCAATAAGTGGCTCAGAGGCGCATAGTTTCAAAAAACTTGGAAAGATAAGTGGTTGCGACGAATCCGGTATGCAAAACCATGTAAGAGAACCGAAAAAGTTTGCACGTGGTCTATGTAAGCAATACTGAAAGGAGATAGCACAAAAACGCGAAAAATAATCGCAGATAATATTATCCAACTGACTTCCGCTACAACTACTATAGTAACCATTCGAAAGTCAGGGGAATGAGTGCTATATAAGCTGAGTGGCAAGCAGATGACAAACCGAACACTAATGTATAAAACACTACTTCGAAGATATGAAAAAGAATCGCTTATACATCGCATCGACATGGCATAGGAAAAATGAATTTATTTTGAAAATCTATTATGGAAAAAGTTATCGTCAACAAAAGCAGATCATTGCAGACAAATGGGAGTGCTTCGTGTTTGGTGATGTCAAAAGAAATGTTAGTATGTAACAAAAGCAACTCTCTCAGCAATATCAACCACAATATGCTGGGAAAACGGTTTGCGGAGATGGAAGGGGTTTTTACTTATTGAAGTTGTACCAGCATACATAGCAAAATTAGTTACAGATAAATTGACGGAATTCGTTGCCACATTCATTGTATTCACCGCAGTTGGCTTTATCATATTATCACTTGTTTGCGTCGATGTCGCGCTTATTTCGCAAGCAACATTTTCTTACTTAGGTTGAAATCCAGAAAAGTGTTGGTTAAAAGCCAAAAGGTTCATTTAATCGCTACAAATTCGAAAAAAAAGATTGTGAAGCTATAGTCTGTAAAACTTATTTTTTACATCGTCCCTTTGTACGTAATAAAAAACCCGCGGGCTAATATTCGGAATGCGATACTGGATGGCAAAAGTATATCTAACGTCTTTGATGATGGGAAGACTTTTCTACCTGGATTGCAGGAACTTATTGAAATGATGGGTTTGTCTGTCTTCTTCGCTGCGCCTTAGCTGACATACGCCAAATCTATCATTCATGTTAACTTTATGCGAAAGTAACTGGCACCAAGACAGATTTAAGATAGACTCAGCTATTTTTGTACCGATCGATTCGTTTGGATTCCTTGCGCCAATTTTTCAAGCCCTGTCCGATACCGCTTCCTTCAGAAAGTAGGATTTCATACGTCAAAAGGGGCTAAATAATAATATGGAGCGATCTGTTGGATCCAATTATATATAAGACTTGTGTTGAAAAATAGCTAGATAATATGTGCATAATGTACTTAATATGTTGAGTACAAAAATACGTGAACAAACATCATATAAATGGTATAGGGTGCAGTGACTAAAAAATATCAGCAAAGAACTTGCGTTTAACTTTGTTTCAAAGCAGTAAAATAGTTGCACCAAATTTCTGCTCCGATTATACCTACTGTATTCAACCAGAAAGATATAAGCGACGACCGAAGTTTCGAAAGCCAATCCGGACTCCACTTAAAGAATTATTTTAAATACTGGAGAGGATGTGTGCATGGGCATATGCGACGTGAATATGAAAACAGAAAAGGATTTTAAGACTTAAATTTTCTCAGATTTATAGAGATATGTTAGACCTTAGGTAAACATGGCTTGGAAGTGGTTTCGCGAACGTTACTGTTTCTCTCCTTACGTACTTGTATAAATTGACAAATTTATTAGAGTCAAAAAGCGAATCATTGCAATTTTTGTTCTTTGGCCTTACAATGAACTTATTTCAAATTGCAGGCACGTACATACACGCTCATCTACTTGCCCGCTAAATGAATATATGTACAAGAAAAGTAATAATGATGAGATTTGATGCAAATATGTATACGGGTTCGCTAAGATTTCTCTTGTATCAGTTTAGCATTATTCTTATATTATATGCTCGGCATTGTATTGCGTTTAAAATTTATTTATCATGCAAATTATCTAAAAATTTAATCATTTTACGCAATTTCAAAAGACTTGCTATGTTAAACGGAACAATTGAAATAATCTGTGCTTACGTACGTATAGCAATCCTAATATACGAACTTTTATCACAGCCGCAGAATCTGAGATACTTTAATTAGATTACTAATACGGCTGAAGGGAAATATGAAATGAATTCAATCTAAAAACTTCTATATTAAGTTGTAGCAAAAGTCTTAATGGTTCTGTCATTACACATGAATACGTTTAAATGTCTTCTGAAATTATATCATTAATGCTGTCTATAGGGTATTTTATACAAAAAGAACGATATATTAGATTTTTTAGTCATCGAGCTGAAACTAGGGACATCATTATTGTAATTTTTTATTTTTATCTGATGCACAACTATTTCAAGGATTTGTTTTTTCTCTCAACAAATATTTTTCAAAAAGATTACAATCGAATAGAAATTTTACAAATTCATGATATAACGAATTTTTTTAAAATTCGTTTCGCCTATAATTCATAAAAATATACTATAGGTTAATGCAGACATTTACATATTTTTATTATATGTATTATCAATATCCCAAGTAAACTTCTCGATATTAACAGATGTTGGAATTCTTAACAAATATTTCGTTGTAATCAATACTTTCGATGGAGTATAATGATGGTTCTTATTGCATACTTATAACTTTTGCCTTTCCAGATCATTTATTTATAGGCAATTATAACTAATGTCTTTGGTTGATCGATTTCCCATATCTAATCATCAAAACAAAATTAGCGAAAAATATTACTTTTAGAACCTACGGAGCATCGAGAAATAAGTTTCATCATAGCACCTATGTCTTCGGCCTACTATTATATGTTGTTCTTTTAAAAATGTCAATAATTTATTTGTAACAAAGAGAAGTTTTACATTAAATATCCCGTTGAAATAAACACCGAAAGCGACCGCAAATGCTTTTGATGCTTCACTCGTAAAAAGTGATGCTAAATTCATAAACGCTGTACACAACTCTCCGTCCAGTATAAATGTTGACATTTCCCTGCCCTGATAAGACTTTCCTCTCTGATTAACTTTTGTTTGAACCAACGACTCGACTAGGCCACCTTACTACCCTTATATCAATGGGTCAATATTAATTGTTTAGATAAATAGCCTGGAAAGACCACAAGTCTTTTCGGTGAGGAAAAAGACAGTACTTTGAGTGAAACATTTTTTACTATCCTCATAATATTTTCTTTCTTAAAAATCGCTAATATTATCGTTTATAAGAAACCTGTTAGAAAGGGCAAAGGTGGTAAGGAATACTTAACAATGGTCGATGTCAAAGGGCGAGTTGAACACTCAAATAGTTGGGAAAGTGTTCGAAAAATCCTAACATTTATTTGTGATTCTAAAGAAATGTTTCCTATGTATTTTTTTTTTCTTTAAGTATGAACAGTCGCCCAGAGGTGATCGTCTATTCGTGTAACACGGTGGTGATCAGAAAGAAACGAAAAAACACAAGTGGGAGCTGGTGACCGCTACTAGCACGTATTTAGTCTGTAAGCGTTACCACGTCTTTACCAATTGGGCACTTGCTGCATCTAGGACTAAAGTAAACTCTACACACTGAACTTGACACTCGCGATTTTTACCTAGCCAGCTGGTGAATGTTTTTTGAGGGCATTTGAGACAAGTCATTATACTTGAATGAAATGAACTATCTAGTTTTACTTTACTAACAATTCGTTTAAAGAGCATACCGCAAAAATCCACTGAAATATATGAATCGAAAATTCTTTGGATTCATGAGGGAGTTATAATTTAAATTTCCTTTCTTATGGTTGCTTCGGACTTTTTACGTAAGGTTGGTCAGAATCGTATAATATCTTACTTTAGCCCCATTGGTGATTTTACGAGTCCAAGTTCAACTCACTGAATCTAGGTAGATTTCTTTATCTTATATAAATAATGTCGAATATCTAATAAGAGCCAGTGTCTTTTCTATTTAACCTTCATTTCTATATCATCTATTGATTGCGTATTTCTAAATACTGCAAACGTAATAACAAACTTATTATAACACATTTGAAAACAATCTCCTAATATATATATTTATATATATATGCATGCGTACACATGTTCCGATTGTTTATATTGCATGCGAAGATCATAGAATTCACCTGAAAAAAGTGCTTGCGCTTGCAATACTTTGCCGGATAATTAAAATTTCTTATTTGTAATTCACACAAACATATTTTAGTACACGCTTTTATTGTGCAGAAGATAAGTTTTGCATTAAAAATATTATGGTATTTGCGGTTTACATATTAAAATTAGTTTTAAGAAAATTATTTATATTTAATTTTTGCTTGCTTTTCTATTTCGCTAAAGAAATTCATTTGTACTGCGGCGGCCGCAGCAATGCAGTGAATGCAACGCTGAAAAATATGTGAAAATTTGTGTTACTATCGCTGCTGTTGTTGTTGTTCTTTTTGCCCATTGTAAAATGAGCAAAAATTTAATGATGATCACAGCAGAATTTCTAGCAACATAACAATATTTGAATCTAAACTAATATAACATATGTGAAGTATTTTTTGCTTACGTTATCAACAGTTTTTACTTTTCGGTGCCGCCCACCACTCAGCACTCACCATCCATCGTCTTCGTCATGATCACCATACACCTCGCACGAATGCAAGTCTATGTATACGAACAATATGAATGATATACAGAATTAAATATGTTGCGAGACATTTACTTTGCGAATGTATCTGCACTTTGCAATTTGGTTCGAATTCGATAGGCGAGGGAATAGCAGGAGTGACTGAGCGATAGAAATTTTAGTTTTTTTTAACCGCCTCTAGCTCTTGTCTTATTCAGAACTTATTCTGTCAATCAGAAGCGAACGGGTCCTCAGGTAGTTAGCGGGAATTAGTGGGTAATGTGAAAAAAAAGTAAAAAAAACCTATCGAAACGGAAACAATATTTAAAAAACTAAATCTATTTAAGCACTATTTTAAGTATGTGCTAACTTATTCTTATTCTAAATCGGACTAAAATTCAATTAATAATTCTTTCACTTATTTATTGGTGGCTTTGGCGATTTAAAAATTTTTGTGTTTAACGCATATGGGACGTGATACTAAAAATAAGAATAAATGCTCGGAAAAATCTCTTACAAATCTATTCTGTATTTTATTTTAGATAAATTGTGTTCAATTTAAAAACGATTTAATTTCCTCACAATGGCCTACTCTTGGGACAACCGTGTCGACTTTATTGTTCGATATATGTACGGTAAGTATTCTTTTGTCTTTTGTTATAATATGTTATCCTACACCTAAAAAAAATGAAAAAGATTCCGTTCCTAGAAGATTCACTTTTTTTTCTTCTCATCATTCGTAAGAGTTTTGCTCGAATAAAAAGCATTTTAAACTCTGGCTAAATTGTGCAAAAAAAGAGAATACTAGAGATGAAACCATTACGTACTCTATGACCACTGTAAAGTGACTCGCAGCACGGCGTGAATTTATTGTTGTTTACTGTTGGCTTGTATTGAAGCGAGAAATCTTTAATCAGCTCTTAAGGCGTGTAATTGACTTTGGAGGTATATTTAAAAATAGAGTGGAAAATTGTTAATTTTATGATAAGAATGTTGGAGGGCATCAACATTATAACTGCAAGCGCTGGAAGGCGGGGGTGGGGGGTGGGGGGGGGGGGACTACACCTACTTCGAATCTCAAGCCGTTCAAAACTAGAACTTATATTTCATTCTTTCACTAACATATGCAAAAAAAGCGAATTATGTGATCATAAAGTATATAAGGTATAGCTATTGTCCAAATGACTGCGTAAGTAGTGAAGGCAGAGTTCACAAATGTGATCGTGTTGCATTATGTTATTGAATTCAGTCAGAGTCTAAGGATTCCATTCCAATCCAATGATGCTTAATTTCATTTTACTTTACATATACATTATCGTTGAAGGTCTATTCATGAGATCAAAGCCATTGGTGGATTATTTTATGCGATTACTTTAGTACTAACAACGATAAGGAAGGCAGGTCGTACAACGTTTTGTGAAACAGCTGAGAATAACTTTTTTACGAAACATAAAGCGCATCACAACTATGATCATAAGAGTGATAAATTGGGTTCTTTAGAAAAGATGGAACCATCGTTATGCATGCACATTTCCTAGACCGGGAAATACATATATGACATCTACGCAATGGAAAGAAAACAACTGGAAAAATTATATTCGCGTTAAAATGAAAATTCATTTCGCACATTGTAAATGCAAAATATATTAAATACCAGACTATTGTATTCTATTGATCTCTTAACTGGCCCCAGCAAGCATATATATCGGCTAATACATAAATATCCGTTAGAGATAAATGATAAATTAGAAATTTTATTTCTATTTGGAATGTGGAAATGTGTGTATATCAAGAGGGGATATCATCCAAATTTCACACAGACAGCTTTTTGCCTCAATTTTTTGTACCGCGAACTTTCCACGGATATATAATGGACGCGCAAACGGACTACTACTAAGAATCTTCAACCCCTTAAGAATATAAATTGTTTATGAAGAAAACGTACATACATCGGCGGCGGAAGCTACAAACGATAATAAGTTATTTTTAAAGTGTGATATATAAAAAACATTATTATTTAAATTTCTTCAAAAGAAGATTTTCTTCTAAACGATATCCCGGGTTTACCTAATCGAAGCATCCGCACATAGTTTACTACTCAGCCTTTGTTCCTAGTTCATAGCTAATACGCTCTATGTCCTCTTTGCGACTAGAAAACTTTACTGACCTTTGTTTCCAGATTAATATTCACAAAATCATGATCAACTCAAATGCCAAAATAGTATTTCAAATTTTATAAACTTAGATATAAAAAAAATCTTATAATCAAGCGAAAAGATGATTCAATTTCGGGCGATATTTTGCTTAGACTTATACACTACAATGTGTGTCAGACGTTTCGCGAAGGAAATGCGAAAATTGTCAAATGTTCATAAAAAATGTAAGCACTATAAAGTCATCACGAACCATATTCGCAAAAGCCTTCAAAAATTTGTTGCCAAAAAACTTGATTATGTTTCTAATGAAAACGCTTCTTAATAGTTTGAGTATTTATTTTGAATCATCCACATGAGTATGAAATTAAAAATTCTCTCTAAAAGACTCGCCATTGAATTTTATAAATCATTCATTTTACATATAAAAAGAACATCACAGGTGCGGCTTCCCATGTGTCAAATTCCGCTTTCCCTAATGTGAAGTAACTATGAGAGATTATCGAAATCTAAGGAGATGAAAACATCCACTAAGGCCGATTGCAATTTTTCTGTTGTGTTGTTCTATTTGAACAAAAATTCACTCAAATTTACAAATTTAGTGCGAACCGAAAATACGTTATGGGATTTATTTACCTACTCACGGGTTTATCTGTTGAAGAAGAAGAAAACATGTACGAACTACTGTTCTTTTATAGACATCCGTCCGTTACCGGTAATGTTTTCTTTATGCTTAAATCTTGCAGACTATAGATGCGTTTTTAAAATTGTGTGTCAAGTTGAAGAATTTTGTGACTCTTGCTAAATACTTTTGACATATGGACTGTCTGGTAAACTTAGTTAACGAAATTGTGTACATAGTTTATTAATTAGCAAAAATAGAAAAATAAAAAAAATTCGAATCAAATTGAAAACATTCAAACATAGTGGCAGCAATAGCAATACATGTGTGGTAAGTACGGAACGTCTATTTAAATTATCTTTTATACATAAATGGTGTAAACATACCGAACGAGTATGAATTCGAATCTCATGAAGGGCGAATTTATTTTCAAGAACTCCTGGTCCGGCTAATAACTGAGAAACTGGAACTGTATTTGTTGATTTTCACCATAAACTTCTAAAGACTTTAAGGCTTCTTTCAACTTTAACGTATAAAATTTATAAACTTTGAATTCATCCAAAGACACATTTACCGAGTTATCAAGATCAAACGAACGGACGAAACGATTTGGCCCTCTCACAATATCTTGGTCTGATCCATGAAATGCGTCCACAATACCGTAAGACACCTTACTATTCAAAAGCAATCAATGCAGTTGCACGCTTTTACGTAATTACATTGTTAAAATGCGCAAATTTAGACTAAGTTCGCGGGAATGCCTTTCTCGAGCTACCTCGTTATCGTGTACGTTGCCATTGCGAACGTTATATTGTTAATACATTCAAATATTAAGATAATCCTTAACATTTAAATTGCGGTTATTCTCAAAACTGCAAGAATAAAGATGTTTTACTTTTGTTAAATAATTAATGCACACAATTTTCGAACTAAAACATAATCTCTGCGCTTAAAACGAGTCACAATTCATTTGTAGCCTCTTAACGACAATGCTATATGTATTAAATAAGAACGTATGTTGCGCTTTTCGTCCGAAATGCGTCTATTTCAGACTAAATCAAGATATCTCCTATCTCCGTGGTTAAAGCCTATTTCATAGTTTGCCCGTCATATGGAAGCGTATCGGCTCAAAGCCATTTGAAATTTTGGTTCCCGCAAAGTGAAGCAACAAATGATCCGATTAAGAAAACGACAATAAAAATCTTTTAAAAAAGATAAGCAAATGCATGATGCAAACCTGGGAAGCTTAACGATCAAATAAGATGATAAAACATTGTTCTCAATCATTACTTTTCACCACTATTTGCTACAATGCAAGTAGCAAGGATTTTCAATCTTATCGCTACAAGAAGATATGTTACATAAGAATATCATATAAATTTGTAACAAATTATCATTTTTAATGTCATTTACGTCGATACGTTGTTATGGATGTGCACTTGCTATTCGCAAACTAGCAAACGCATAATAACGATCAAATAGCTAATAAAACAGTTTACATGTCTTGCGTCGTCTATAGCGATTAGTTGCCAACCATAGAGGCATAACCATAATAGAGTCTAAGCGATTTTTACACCTTCTGCATTACTAAAGCCCTGAAACAGTTGCATGGGATGGCATAGAGTACGAAACGGACTGAAACGAATTCAGTTTAAATGCATTGAATTTATGGCATCTTATGAACATATGAATTTTTGGCGTAAACAATATTAATGTGCTGTTTTTTGATTTTCTTCTTTTCTTTCTTTTTTCCTTTGTGTAAATTCAATGATTTTCATTTATCAAGCTGGTTGATATGTTTGCGTGTTCTTAAACTAGATGCTGTGCAAAATTAAAAATACACGAAATGCACATTAATTGCGAATAATTAAAAGGGAATACACAATCGTAGGCACTACACGCGCACACCATACACCATAACAATATGCAAACACAAGTATTCATGTATGCTTTGTAAATTGCTTGTACATACATATCCAAAAGAAAAAAACTTATATCAAACAAGTGCGAAAACACAATTTTTGAGACCGTGAATAGATCAACATTGCGATTATTTCAAGTTAAATGCCTTCGTCTTGAGGTGGTTGTTTTTATTGTCATTATTCGTTGTTAGTTGCGGTTAGTTGTTCATTTTTTTTTGTTATTGATGCCTTCGATGCTGCGGCTGGCAGTTTTTTACTGCACTGCTGCCACCTTACTAGGCTGACAACAATAGAATTATTGTTGGCCTGGTATCTGCCACGGGGTGCTCTAACATTTGTGATAGCAATTATTTATTTTATAAAAGACCAGAAACCATATTTTTGAATAAGTACGTAACTTTACGATCTCTTGCAGTAAAGACATTTATTAATTAAAGATTAAATCAAGACATTAATTAAAATGCTCGTTTCTTATTTACACATAAATTTAATTTGCAACTCATACCCTACCCCACTGAAACTATTAAACATATTCACCGAATCGAATAGTGTAGAATTTGTAAATTGTATTGTAGTGCTTCTACTGTTCCACATATGTCCGAGACCTTTCTAATTGCGTTAGAAGCGATGACAGTTTTCAAAACGCTTGATTTAGATCTAACGTAGCAAGATTGAACTATATTCGCAATCTAAGTCGTTTCTTTTGCTTCCATATTTTGAAAAAATCTGGAGCGATAGTGTTGATAGTCGCTGCACCTATGGATTTCTTTTGTGATGAAAGTTTTATTCGAAAGAAAGAAAACTACTTATACACAACACCTATAACCACAGGAAGCTGTTGATCAAAAATTATCATCTGAACATTTTCGTATTACTTCGTACAGTGAACTTATGTACACATTAAATCAACTCGCAACATTCTGAGGGATATTTTCGAA